ATGGGCAAGAAAAGAAAAGGAAAAAAAAAAAAAAAAAAGGTTGATTTTTCAAGATTTATAGAAGATATGGCAAGATATGAACACAGTCTCTATAGAAAGGGAAATAAAGAGGAGGACATCGAAAATGACTCCCTTATGGTCTTGAACTTTTATAAGAATGTTGGTATTAGGAACAGTGACAAGAATGAAGAAATAAAAAAGACAACTGAAAAATAATGAGATAAGGTTTGGTGCTGTTCAACTGAATTTGACAGCAAGATAGCCAAGATGAGCATTAAGACAAGTCTGAGATGCAGGTTTAGATGAGAAAGATAGGTCAGGGAAAAAAAGTAGATTTTTTGCAGAAATATGAGTTAGAATCCCTTCTGCATTATGATATGTTCCTATGTATTTTTATTTTCTGATATATCATTATGTGATCATGTGGTTAATTTATACCAGGGATTAATGGAAAACATGTTAAAGGAGAAATAACCATTAACAATTTTATGACTGTTATTGTGATTGGAATAAATATTTTAAAAGATTGATATAGAAGAATGTTCTAAACTTAAGGCCTGAGTTTTTGGAGGAAGACGTCTCCAAAAACATTTTAAACGGATTATATAAACATCTGAAACTATTCTATTATTGAGAGAATAGAAAGCCACTACTATTTATATAAATTTAAACATTTTGTGTGTAAGCATTTGTTAGTAAGATATTGATTTTAAAAAATTCAAAAGATACTAAAGTAAAACACAGTTATGTCTAAAGATAATTTAAATTAAGCAGTGCTTTCCAATCGCACAACAGCATAAATTTTAACTTTGTACAAGCTGAAAATCCTACTTTTCTCAGATATGAAGAAATGTTCTCATTTAATCCTCACATATAATAAAAGAATGGTCATGATCTAAAAATTGGACCTTTTCTATAATTATTTATGAATCATAAAAGATCTGCAAGCCTTAAAGTCTACTTGTCATGCATAAGCTTTGTGCTGTAGAAGAATGATTCAGAGAACCAAAAAAAAGGTTATTTTTAATGGTATATAATAATAACAAATTGCTTCCCAGTGGACTTTTCACTTTCATTTATGTCTCTGGAAAATATAAAATAGTAATTTTTGCCAGTTTTAGAACCCACAATAAGTGTGCTTTGAAGTAATTTTGGTGCTGTGAAGTAGAATGTCTAACAGAAAAAAAACCCAACAAAATTATATATTTTTATTTTATCAGTATCTTCTAGCTATGGGGGAACATAATTTACACATTCACACTATATGTCATACAATATAATACAGTGCCATAACAACTTTTAGTACCACAGAACAAACTGAAATCTCCACAATTTATAATTCAGTTCAAAATCAATTCAGCAAATCTATCCTTGAATAAAGTTCTTGAACCAAAGGGAGCAAGTCAGTAGAAAGAATATTTCTTTAAGAAGAATGTACCCGTAAAGGATGGAGATACCTGGATTTTAGCTCTCCCTCCCTCAAATATCTAACACCCTTGTTTTCAATTAACCTGAGAGGAGGGTAAAACATTGAATGAAAAATTATGGCAAAGAAGTCAGACTGCTTAACTGAAGAAATTAAATTTAAAATATTTTCACAGGGATATCTCATCTATATTTGCTGTCCTAGTGAATATTTCTCTTCCATTTTCAGCTATGGACACCACTGTCTTTTCCAACAAGAATTCATTACCAGTCAGTTGTCAATGGGAAGGAATCACTGAACTAATTTTTCACTTTCAGTATTTATCATTTATTCAAAAGGAAAACAGTCGTTGTTTGGAGACCAATATCACAATGATGGCATATGTGAACACTGAGTAAAACAATCGAAGAAAGAAGAAATGTGAGCAAACTGTAGGAAAGGAGACTGAAAATACAGAAAGCCTGATGTAAAGGTTTCATTCTTTGTTCAGTGTAGAATTTCAAGCCTGAGACTGGCATTATATGCTGGGCTCAGTTCAGATGGCATTATTTTCATTTCACTTACATTTTTGAGTCCAAGCATTTATGTAAAGCGACTAAGTACTAAGAGTTTATATAAAAATTTAGATTCTATTTGGTATTTCTTCTCTTTATATAAACTGAGCATCTTTCTTTCTACATACATAATATACAGAAATTATCCATTTTCTTTACACTTGAATTCCAAATGCTACAAACTACTACAGTATCCTTTCTTTCTGAACTTAAGTGGTGGACAGTAAAAGTATAACAAGCAGATAAAAATAAAATATATTCAAAAAATGTAGATGTAAGTACTGTGACAACTTTCAGAACCATCTTTATTCTGTTGTCTATTTACTTTAATTAAAAACTCAGATTGAAAAATGTAGACAGAATCATTTCACCATTCCAAAAAAAAAAGCAATTGAGTTTATTACATTGCTTTATAAAAAAAAAAAAAAAAAAAAAAACAACAACAAAAAAACCCACCACCTTTTTAACAGTTAAAAAATGTTCTCTAAGGGAAAAGAAAGACCAAAAAGGTAAGCTAATGGCCCAAGTGAAGTACTAAGCACATGGAAACATCGGAAGTGGTAACTGTCTAGCTGGAATTCTTCTCTAAATTCTTGTGCATCGGTTCTGAGGTCTGAAGTGTTGCTTGCCAATAAAATGTACCAATAAAAAGCCCAGAAAGCCAACCATATCCTGGGCTGCATCAAAAGAAGCGTGGCCTGCAGGTTGAGGGAGGTGATTCTGCCCCTCTGCTCTGCTCTGGTGAGACCCCACCTGGAGTACTGCATCCAGCTCTGGAGTCCCCAACATAAGAAGGACACAGACCTGTTGGAGCAGGTCCAGAGGAGGGCCACAAAGATGATCCAAGGGCTGGAGCACCTCTACTATGCGGACAGGCTGAGAGAGTTGGGGTTGCTCAGCCTAGAGAAGAGAAGGCTCCAGGAAGACCTTATAGCAGCTTTCCAGTACCTAAAGGGTGCCTACAAGAAAGCTGGAGAGGGGCTCTTTACAAGGGCATGTAGTGACGGGATAAAGCTTAACAGCTTCAAACTGGAAGAGGGGAGATTTAAAATAGATATAAGGAAGAAATTTTTCACAATGTGGGTGGTGAGGCACTGGAACAGATTACCCAGAGAAGTTGTGGAGGCCCCATCCCTGGAAGTGTTTAGGGCCAGGATGGATTGGGCTTTGAGCAACCTGGCCTAGTAGGAGGTGTCCCTGCCCATGGCGGGGGGGTTGGAACTAGTAATTTACCTTCCAACCTAAACTATTTTATAATTCTATAACATGCAGTCATATAAAGGGCACTGATGCATAAATAAATTGCATGTATTCAAATAGATTACAAAAATAATAGATAAAACCAGTGAAAAATTTAAAGGAAAATTTTAACAATTGAGAAGTTGCGAGAGGCTAGCAAAGGTTATGACCCAGGTTAAGAAGTTAGACTACGTCTTCCATGATGCACTAAGCATAGTATTTAAACTTTTTGGACTCCTAAGTAAACATCATTTCAAAAGCCAAAATAAATTTTAATCTGAGTTTCATTACAACACATGTTCTATTCTGTCTAATCAGTAGGAAATGATTGCAAAAGCACTTTACTGCTGCAACTTCTTCAAATGTATTTTATTTCAAGATTATGTTAGTGAAAAGCTTAGAAGGCCATACTAGTGCTTGTTCAAGAAAGCTTTAGGGTTGGATAATAAAAGCATAACAAAATGTGATTTTTCTTTGCTTCTGAAGAATTATATAAGAAATAATTCCACAATATCCATCCCAATCATGGAAAATTAGTTCTGGATTATGATACTACCTAAGAACCATCAAATCTAATAGCTATGCATGCCTATGCATTTATACATGTGTGAAAATATGCGTGTATAGGGCTGGACAGAGAGTCTAGCTAAATATATGTTTGCTTTCTATGTATCTGTACTAGGTGTAATACATACACACATTTAAAGATAATCTAAATATAATACTCCCACACATCCTACTTAAAAGTGTGAAGCTAGGCATAATCAACATCTGTTGCAACAGCCATACCAGATTATTATTTACTAGAAAAACACAAAGATAACAACCCTTCTAGTAAATCTGAATATTTTGATTAGCACATGTTCTGCCCATCTGCTGAAATCTTGAAGAAAATTGAAACAAGATTAGTCAATATTTTTCTTCAAGTTATTCATGTGGTTTCTGCCATGTTTAGGAGGTTTCTCTTGAATTAGCTACAAAATAGTTTCCCTTTTGTCCTATTTTAAATGACAGTGATGTGCAGGAAATGTTTTATCTTGTTCTTTGATCAAATGTTTCTCTATCGAGCAATTTGCCCAAATAAATGCAAAAAGGGACAGAGAGATAATTTTTAAATTGACTAAAATGTTTCTAAGAGACTGAATTCAACTGGCATGACCAACTGAGCATGCTTTGAAGGACCAAAGTAATGCCTGCCTTACTCATTTACAATTGTAGTGGTATTTGTATTAACACACATTGCATTATTTAGCTGCTTTAGTATATGTTGTTTTTTTTCATTTTATTGCTTGCACTTCATTGTGAATGTTTCAAGAAAGATGTTCCTCTTCTTTGTGTACATAAAATAATTTGTGTGTTTACACTACATACACAGAAATTTCTCTGAGACAAAGTCAAAGTTCGGAAGAGTAGGCCTGACCTCTATTGATTAATGAAGACATATGTTTTGTCACAAAACCCCATGTATTTCTCCTCAGAAATAAATACTGAATACTATCTATTCCATATTTTGACTTAGGCATATGCCACAAAAGAGCTAAACCAGTTTGGCAGAAACAAACACTGCCTATAGGCAAAACAGAGATGCAGAGTAGTCTTCGTTTCACAAACATATCCATTACAGAAACCATTGATGTGAACCTACTTGCACTACTTGTTTAAAAATTTGCATTTTCCAAAAACGGTACTATTCAAATAGCATTATCATAAAAGTTTTACAATTTGTATAGACAGAATTGAAATATAAATGAATAGTAGAAAGCTTCCAAAAGTTAACTTACATGATCAATTAGTTCACGAACCATTCCATTCCACTGTCCACTGGCATCTTCCTGGGCTCCGTATTTTCCATCCTCCACCAGTCTAATCTCATAGGAAAATCCAAGGATAGTAGACAGCTCCCTGAGGAGGTCAATGCAATAACCTTCAAATCGATCATTTCCATACAAGGGTTTGTCAGATTTCTTGAACATAACATATGGCTCTTCCTGTAAAAATTAAAAAGACAGAATGGATAATGACTGCCCCCACACCTTTCTTTTCTTTTTAACCTAAACTAGCACACTGTCATGACACCACTCTCTGTACAAAGCACTAAAATGAAAAGTAGAATCCTTTTAGCTTTTGGTTACGTCTGTCTAAAGTCTTTATTTATCTTCAAATCGAAGTTAGTCAGAAGACCTCTTTTCTCATTTTTCTTTGAAAAAAAAAAAAGACCTTGTAAAGACTAGACATATCTTCAAGGAATTCATATAAACACTAAATTTAAATGTGCTCCTTAACAAATTACATTTTAGATTAACATCAAATGCATTGTTTGGATGGACATTGTAAGCCTCTTAAGATGCAGAAACAATGTGTTTTGGCAACTGAAAAAAAAATTAATTAAAACCCCAAACATCAATCAAATGCTGCAAGTATTAGATTTTACACTTTTCTTTACACAACTATTTTAACTGTTTTCTCAATGCTTTGTTAAATAACGTACAGAAAACCCACAGGGGGATGAAAAAGTTAGTAAAATCATCTACTGTTCTGCTGCCTCCAGTTATAGGCTGCCATTTACAAGACTGCAGCAAAACCAGAAAAAAAAGTTAACCCAAAAAGCAAATTCCATGACATACATTCCATGCAAATGGTATTTATTTTCTTTAAATATTTATCTTCTTACATTTAATTTAAACTACAATGTGACCTTTTTGCATAAAGTGATATGCAAACAGAACAGCAGACAAATTAAAATGATTGGCAGAATATTCATAATTATGAGAAGAAACAACATTTAGAAAAATATAGGATTTTTATATCTGTTTCTGTTACCTTCCTCAAATACAAAGCTGAAGGGAATAAGACAAAATACAAATGGTAGAGTTTTCCATTACAATACGGCACCAATATTCAAGTTGTATGTGATAGGTTAAATACACAACTCAGTCTTTGCTCATGTTTTACACAGACATTCTTCATTTTTTACAATAATAAAAAAATAAGCACCAAGTAAGGTAAGACAAATGGTAGTAGATGCAATTACTGCACCAAACACAACTCTCAATGAATAATCAGATAAACTCTCCAGGGTATCTTAACAAAATTCATACAGCCCTAAATCTCCACATCAGCACTCAGCGGGGTTAAAGGCACTTCATTCTACAGGCATCTGACAGCTTTAATAAGGATTTGTCAGCATTCCTGATGTAAACATCTATCTTGAGGCGTCCCGTGATTTAAGCGTTAGAACTTCATAATACTGGAGCTTCAGCATATAAGATTTTACCCAAAATGCAAAGGAGAAAGCAAGGAGATCTCTTGCTCTTAAAAGAAGTGTGTTCAGAATATATTTGTTCCCATATTGCTGCTTACTTTTTTTTTTTTTTCCAAAATAAAACAAACTACTGAATCAAGACTCTTCTGAGATTCTATTTTTATATACTTCTATTGAAATTAATAAAGTTAAGGCCATATTTTTTTTTCAAGTACACCACTGATATTCATGCAATTAACAAGGAATCTAACATGAAATAAATTGTCCAGAGAAACTACTCTACTGTTTTGACAGAAACTTTTTAAACAATAGATAGGCAAATGGCTCCAGGAGAGCTCTTCTAGATATAGTGCTAACATGAACAAGGACCTGACCAAAAGCATGAAAGTTGAAAGTGATTTAAATGACAAGGATCATTGAATAATTCTTGAGAAACAGAGACAGTGACAGAACAAAAACTATGTATGAAACTAGTTGTTAATAAACTCAGACAAATGATATGAAATATCTCATAGAAAACAACTGTAAGGAAAACAGTTTTTCAGGTGAAATGAGAATTCCTTGAAGAAAGCACACTACTGGCCAAGCAGAAGCTACGCTAAGACAAAACACAGAAATTTTAGAAAAAGAAGCAACAAGACCCAAACATAAATTCTTCAGTGAACTGAATCTCAGAAAAGGAAGTGTGGAGGAAGTTAAATGTAACTCAGAATGTGAAGGGCAAACAGAAAAATCAATGAGCAAACATAATATTTTTTCAGGGACAAATGCATAAATGCCAAAGCAAAAAGTACAGTACAATTAGCAATTGATTTTAAGCATAAAAAGCAACGTTATAGTAGCAAGGATTAAAGGCAATTCTAGGAACTAGTTCATCTGTTGGCCAGCAGGAAAAGGAAACCATGAAATGACATTATAAAGGCAATCAAACAGTTTGATGGTTTTCCTCTGCCTGTCTGCTCTGCAAAAGCTAATGTTGATGAGATAATGTACATAACGAACACAAGAAACACATGTAAAAGTGTTTAGACTGAAGTAGGAAAAGACAGCTTCAGTGAGTCCTTGAACTTTAATTATTTTCAGGATGAATTCACAGAAGAACTGTTTTTAACAATTTTAGGTTCACTAGGCATTACCTTCAAGAATTTATGGAGGCTTCAAGTAGACTGTAAAAGGCTTATATTTAAACACTTCCCAATCCAAAAAACTTCACAACTTGGACAAAGGAGGGCTATGAAATTGTAGACTGATCAATTATTTTTAGAAAAACATTATTTTTATCCTAAACAAATTGTAAAAATATTTCATTTGTGGGAACCTAAAGCTAAGAGATTATGCAGAAAGGAAGAAGTTGAGGAAATTCATCATGTCATGTTATGCACAAAGTCACCCTGCTCTTCCTAAAAATATGAAAAAATTTGACTGTCCAGAAATATGCACTTCATTGAAAGAGATTTATTATCAATCTGGAAAGTTATAATAAGTGATAATGCTTTAGAGGCTATGGTTAAATATTTCCTCTTATTCTTGAACAGAAAAGATATTAATTGGGTGTGTATTCACTCTACAATGGGACAGGATCAGAATTCAAAATGGTAAGTTTCAGAAAATAGAAGAGTAGTTAAAAAAAATGGCATTCAAAAGCAATGAATGAATATTTCCACATTTCAGATGAATAATAAATTGCAGAAATTCAGGAGGAAAAGTGTTGATTAGATAGCAACTCTATAAAATTAAGCTTTGGATATTATAGGGGAACAGGTACTAGACTTAACATTATCACACCATTAACTGAGAAAAAAAAAACCAAAACAAAACAAAACAAAAAAAACCTGACCCACTTGGATTTGCTTTGAGTGGGAGTTGGGACTGGAGGACCTACAGTGGTCCCCTCCCATTAAAATTACTCTATCATTTTATATTTTTGACACTATTAATGCTTAACTTGCTGTATTCCATTCAATTTTGAATACTGCCGTTCAGGAGAAACATGAACCAAGGTCTAAAAAACAGGATGAGAAAATACTGAAAGAATATAAGTTGTTCCACTTAAGCAAGAACAGACCGAGAGGGAAGTGATAAAAGTCTTCAACACATATGAAGTTGTGGCAAAAAGGAACTAGAAAAGTTATTTTCTGTAGAGGGGATAGGAATTAGTGACCTTAAACTTTGGCAAAAGAAATAAAGGTTAGAAATTAGGGGACACTTTATAATGGTAACTATTGTTAAATGACACAGTAGGATGTCTAAGAATTTGGACTGTTTTGCAAGAAGAAAAAGTTAAGTTCAATCACCTCTTGCTTAAAAAAAAAAAATAATAAAAAAAGGGCCAAGAAAACAGCTACCTGTGGCAACTGTTTCTTATGTGAAAATAACATTCACCATCAAGGTAGTGAAATCATGACAATTGAAAAATTGTCCATTTCAGCTGTGAGATTTTGTGGTTTTAGAATTTTCCAAAATGTCTGGAACTTTTTTATCAACAGTAATTAGCTCAAATATATTTCACCATATTAAACTTGGATTAAATACTCAATAAAATTGTTTAGCTACACTAAATCCTAAAATTTATTTCTGAAGGTGCAAAAAGACCCAAAACCATATAATTTATATCATTTCAGATATAAAAAAACCTCAGACTTGTGCCTACTCCAAATGCCTACTCAGACATGCCCACTCCAAATTAACTTAGGCTATAGGAAAGGGATTCTACCATGTATTTTTATCAAGTATGCTTGTCCTGATATAAGAGCAACCTAAGGGAGAGTGATTACACTTTGAAAACAACCCTTTTCTTCATCCAAATTAATCTTGCTTCTAGTTTAGCCTATTCTTGACATGTGAAATTTGCCAACTTTGTAGCAAAACTTTGACCCGCTCAGCAGTAAGGAATTACCCAAATTAAATTTATACATATAGAACTACACACAATATGGAAACAAATAGAAAGATAAATGGCATTATGAATAATGAGAAAGATGAAAGGGATGTGGGTAAATAAAGCTTTGATATCATTAGCTTACATTTGAAACTGGGAAGCTAGATAAATCGATGTTTTCTCACAAGATTTAAAACATAGAAGTTTATAAACCTTGTGCAAGAACAGTCTAAATTACATATACTCAAAACGTTCACATATATAATCACACATCTAATTCTACACTTAGTTAATTCATAGTATTCAATGTAAATATTTTTTAGAAAAGGTAAGGAATGGAGAGAGCATCATTTCAATGCCAACATATACTGAGCAACAGTATCCTTACGTATCTGTGCTCAGAAACATGCAGTACACTCCTCTAACTTTCAGTGTATACCTCTATCACCAAACTATAAAATTTAATCTGAAATCAAACACTGGATTTGTTTCAACTGGTTTTATTTCATATTGATAGCTTCTTCTCTGAAGGGAAAGTCTTTACACCACTAATTCCTTTTAAAATAGGGTGGTTTAGAAGAAGAAGAAGAACAAATCCAAACAACTAGAAACTTCAGTTTTTCACTGGAGATAAACTGTAAATATCTCTAGCACTCAGGACAACAGTATAATAAGATAACTCTCTCTGGGGTTTTTTTTAGAAATTTGAGACAGACTGCAAATAAATTCTTTTCAGTGCTAAGCACCCATACCGCATCTGAAGGAGACTGACACATGAACAGTTAGCAGTCTGAAATGTTTGGTTTGGCTAATTAACTCTATGAACATGAGCTTGAGTTATCTAGAGA